GAGATGTGTTGCGTATGCCGAACTATCGTTTGCCGAAGGAAGTGCTGTTTTCCACGCCTAATTCAGAGTGGTGTAAGCAGAGAGGTGGCCAACCCTTGACTTGGCAGAGGAGTATGAAGGAAATCACGAAACACTTGGGTGCTGTCGGTGCTGCTCGCATTCCAGGATGGGGACCGCGTGATCCTCATTGTGCCTGGTTGGAGACACTACAATTTATTGCTGCCAGCCGATATCAGTGGCGTTCTTGTCAGTTTCTATCCAGATCACCTGAGTGAATGTCTTGATGTGTAGACACCTCGGGATGATTGTGGTAAGCTATCACTAAGTCCCTTCCCCGTCCACCTATACTCTTTTCTTTACAGTAAGGCTTTCAAATAAATCATGATTGTACGGCAGTGAGGCATCGGTGTTGAACACCGATGTCATGCTGTCGATGATAATGATGATGATTGAGATTTTGGTAGAGTTTTAGGGTCTCAGTAGGTTTCGGGCATTCTTGGGTCATTTTCGGAAGTCCGACCTTACTGACGCTGACCATGCCGAAAAATCGATTTTACGCAGTGGGATTTGTATCCACAATGCACCGCACAAAGGAATGGCCCCATTCCAGGTGGACCACTTTTGGTCAATCTTTTCACATGGTTTTTCTAGAGAGAAAACCACCCTAATGCTATGTAAATAAAATTGTTTTTTGGGAATCTAGTCACCTCGCGCACAAATTTGACTGCTGTGGAGAATGCTGATAGCTCAGATAGCATGGACAGTTTGCTGAGCAGATCGCCATTTACGCACGCATACTACCAAGTACTGACGACCACCTCGGTTGGTGGTGAGACGTTTTCAAATAAATTACCTGGCTCGGTGAACAAACGGACGATCAAATTTGGCTGTACTGCAGGTATTCAGTTGTGTATTTGTGCTGAAATATAAGAAAACCTAATGCACGAGTTTCGCATCTTTGTTTTATTGTAGGATGGTGTTTGCCTCTTGGGGACACGTAGGATGGCTTTTATCAGGATTTTGTGGGTGTCTCGAACCCCAGAGGATAACAACCAGATGGTCTAAGTTAGCTTGGTCTCTCCTGTGGGTTCCGTCGGAAGAGTCAAATCACTATTATAGACTCTAAAGAAGTGTGTATCCGAGTCACTTATTGCTGTGCTTGCTACTCTGCTGACGCTGGGTTATTTGACGGACTAAATGGCCACAGGAAGTGGTCTGATGTAGACTCCTTGGAGTTATCCAGAATCGTTAGACCTTATGTGGCTAGCGAACACCACTGTTGGTATGCATCACAGTAAAGTTGCTGCATTTACTTAGTCTATTTCTTTCTAAAGTGTGCTTTCTTTTGGGGTAACCGGCCCCGAGAAATGAGGGCAACTCAGAGCTCACTTCCTGTCGCTACTTTCGTGCGGTCTCTTCAGAGCAGAAAGTTTTGACGAAATCCATTCCATATAAGAGGTATCTCAAAAGCTCTAAGTGAAAAGGGTTTATTTTGAAGTATGGTCTTTTCTGAGGAACACCCAATCATTTGAAGAAATCGGAAACAATGGTCCCATTTGGAAGGCGATCTTAACTAATGTGTTCAAGCTGAGTATTATGTCATGTAAATGCAATTCATATTTTGAAGTCTATAATCCATTGTATACCAATCCCTTGAGATTAGTTAGATGACCTTATGTTGTTGGAATACCAATGGGCCAAGTGTATCAACATTTCATCCTGAACTTTGTTGGGAGGGGCTTTCTCGCCACAAAGATATGTTAAATATATGTTGGAACCTGGCGTGGTCTGTTATCAGGCACCAATTTCGAGGCAAGTCCCACGCGACTAGTGTTAGTTGGTGGAAATACTATACTTAGTTAGGAATCTGTTTTTGAAATACACAACAGTTCTATGAATACCCAGACTCCGATATTCGCTCAACTTCTTATACGGTCAGAAATGTAAAGATGGGAATTGCGAGTCTACTCATGGAATTCTGGATCTTCGGTAGGCCATGTTAACCTGAATGAGCCCTTACAAAGATAGTAAATCGACGCCGTCGGTGGCAGACAGTTAGGAGGAAAGCGACACTGGCGAGAGTGTACATAGATGGACTTGTAAATCGAACAAATACTGGCTGGGGGTTCCGCCGCCAAGGCGCATCATGACACTATCCTGTATATCAGCCCAACAGATGAAAAACAGTAGAGCGAATTCGCGTACATCAACTTGATATCCTAGTGAGTTGAAGGACCAGAAAATAAATGGGACGCTTAGTCAGAATACGGCACCCAGCGGATGGTAAACGCACATCATTCGGTAATACCGCTTGCTACGTTTGGAAGAACTCCGCCCATATTTAAGCCGATTTGCCGTTTTTACGTTTGACTAGTCACAATAAACAGGCAGGATTTTTGCAACATCGTGATCCCGAAATCAGGCATTTCCTGTGTACGCCCTAAGTAACACGATGTGTACTGGTCGTCTTCACCATTTGGTTGACTTATTTCACCTGTTTTCCGTTTTTAAAGCTTTTCGGCTGGTAAACGTTCCATCTGTTCCGATTTCCACAGCTGAATGGCTTACGCGCAATACCATCTTGATATTCTCCGACCGGGTTGGTCCAAGTCTATGGATGGAGGTCACAGCAACGCGGCATGCACTATAACTCTGCTTAAAGGACCCAATACAATCCTCATTGATCCAGGCAGCCCATGGGACTCCGAGAAGCTCCGTGAACTGTTGAAACAAAGGAACTTGACTTTCGAAGATATAAATTATGTTATTTGTACGCATGAACATGTTGACCACATCGGAAGTCTACATCATTTTAGGAACGCAGTTCATATAGTGGGAACGACCATCTACAAAGATACTTACATTGACCACGATTTCGCTCATCACATTGCCTATGAGATTGACTCTGGTGTAAGATTCTAATTTTGATTACCGTAATTGTTTCCCAAAATGATTTAGATTAAAGTCGTACACACACCAGGCCACAGCTCGCGTGATGTATCTGTAGTGGCGAAGAACGTAGAAGCTCATGGACGTGTTGCAGTCGTTGGGGATTTGTTCGAGTGCGAAGAAGACCTGCGAGATCCTAGGTTGTGGCAAAAGTCAAGTTGTAATCCCAACGTGCAATTAGAATATCGAACGAAAATTCTGGAAAAAGCCAACTTTATTGTCCCAGGTCATGGTCCTGCGTTTAAGGTTACACCAGAGGTCCGTCGTTTACCACTCATCGCATTGGAGCCTTGATTACCCTTGAGACCGCGAAATCAATGTGTTTTCCGTCCTTTGTAATTTTTTCTCTCATGTGGCTCTTTGTATAACCAGATGACTTGCGCAATACACTATACGCTTTTTTGCGCTTACCTCAATGTTTTTAATAGTGTAACGAGATCCATTGGTGACTCTGATGGGCTTCATGTGTTTGAATACATCCTGTTCTACAATTTGCGAACACAATACTGGTCTGTTGCTGCAAGGCCTCGATTCCACCTTGGAGCTAAACCGTCAACGGTTGATTTTATCCTGACAGCCTGTTTTTTTTAGTTGCCTGAGTAAACACTCAATTAGGGATAAACCCATGCAGATCATTCGTTCTGTTGATTGTTCTTGTTACGCAACACGTTCAGACATAAAAGGACCAAACCAGGCTCATTTGAGAGGTGAACTTTCCTGTTTGTAACCCGCCCGTTTTGTGTCAACAACGGATGGTTTAATGTCATCCAGAAGTCACTGCTCATGTAAACCGTACCAACTTAAATGGCCCTCTTTTGACCTAAACTCCTCCAATCTTATGGTACCTTATCGCAATTTATCCCCAACATTGATTTCTGACACCTGTTGAACTGCTGTTCATTCTCAACGATGGCTTCATGTTAATCAATAGGAACTTGCTTTACATTTTGAGAAAAGTAAAAGGATTCGTTGTTTATTTTTTTAAAACAGTGAATACTTATGACTTTGTCATATTGATACGGCACAAAATGTTGTAACCGGTATACATATGTCCCTTAAATGTCGGATTATTTCCGTCATTGGAAACCGTACGATTTCCAGCCCTTATCGCTGGGCCTATCCGACCTTGCGTCCTCTGGAGACTGTCCACACACTTAAATCTACTGTTTTCATATTTCTATTCTGTCGGATAATCCGATCAACCAATTTAATTAGAACCTGAAAAAACCGTAAAGTGTGCCTATACCATCAGCTGTAAAAGCTCCCCGCTCATACTATCCTTTGTGGTTTACTGGAGATCCAATCACTAGATCTATGGATGATGATTTTTCTTAGGGAAAAGTACCAGGAATTTGAAGCTGCTGATACGATCGACTGGCTCTAGAAAAGCAACGGTCAGCGAAACGATAAATGAAAAGATGGCTCATTAATTCACTCGCAAAAACGTCGGCTGGAGAGATGGACCGAACACTTCGAAGAGCAGTTCAGCTGGCCTCATGCAACACAACCAGTGGAGGTAATGCATACGGGCGAATGGAATGTAAACCTTGATCGCCCTTCAGAAGAAGAAATAGGGTACGAAATAGCCGTAGTGAAGCGCGAAAAGGCACCAGGACCGGACATAGCTCTTCTTTCACCTACAGTGTAAAGTGCTACTGCAAGACTGGGTGGACTCGAAACCTAGCCTCATATTTGCGGATGAATCGATTCAGGCAGTAGACAGATCTGTTTACCCGGGTAGCTGTATCAATCCCGGTGGTCTGGCGAAAGATGAAATTTCTATCCGGATTGGGAGGGCCAGAGCATCTTTTGTGAACCTGCGTCACCTGTGGCTTAGGCGTGACATTAACTTCTCTGTCAAGGGTCGAGTTTACAATGCTGCGGTGCGCTCCATTTTACTATATGGATCAGAAACCTGGCCGCTGCGCGCCGAGGACGTCAAAAGACTTTCAGTGTTTGACCATCGATGTCTTCGGAGCATCGCCCGAAGCTGGTGGGAACACCCGATCAACAATCCTGAAGTACGTCGAATGGTATTTGGGAGAAGTAACTCACCCTCGATAGGTGAACTGATCACGCTTCATAGGTTGCGCTGGCTTGGCCACGTGTTGCGTATGCCAGTCGACCGATTTCCTCGAAGGGCTCTTTTCGCACAACCACGTGAAGGATGGAAGAGAGTCAGAGGCGGTCAACCAATGACTTGGCAGCGAAGTATGAAGGCCATTACCAGCAAACTCAGCTGCACTAGTCACTGCCGTCTTCCTGGATGGGGACCCCGAGACGGGCCACATCAATGGCTAGAGACATTGTCAGATATGGCTCAGTCGCGCCCTCAGTGGCGCTCGTGCATCCAAGCTATTGCCTTCAATGCATAGCTCCTTTTCCAACCCACTAACGACGTGACAGCCCACTGTACCTATCCCTCCCCTAAAAAAGACACATCGGTGAACGGAATTGCGGCAGCTACAACCACTGTACGACGAGTACGTGGTTATTACAGCTGACAATGATGATGATGCCGCTTTCACGGACGATAAAATTGGAGAAACGATAAACAAACCGAACGCGTGAGAATAATCGCGTCTTATTAGAGGAGTTTATTCTGATGCGTTTTGAAATCAGGCATTGATCTAGAAAGTGGTTCAAATGTATTTACGTTCATCATGGCCGAATCCTTTCAAGAGGGGAAGATCATTAGTAGGTCTTCTGGAAGTTCCTTCTCTTAGCAAAGTGCAAATAGGGCCAACCAATTTCACAACTGCCAATAAGTCACTCGTTACCATGCGTTATTCGTTTCAGTGGAGCAGTTCCACGTAACTAGCTGGCCGGAACGAGCTAGCGAAATCGAAGCTGACTTAGTGCCATTAAAACTCGACATGTTTTGAAGTGTACAGCTGTCCTGCTCGTGATATTTTTATCTCATATGAAATTGAGATAGCTCATTGGTTAAGGTGAGAACTTACCTATCGGAACTTCTGTGGTGCAAACCCAATCTAATAATCTCAACCTTTCCTTTCTAGGATTGGGCGAGCTGGCAGTATCTCAGCCCAGGTGCTTCCCTCGGATGGTATGGCAGATATGCACTGAAAGAGTGTTACAAAGGTGCGGTACATGGACGTTATAGAATTTCTATCTCTTCTAACCCAGAAGCGATTTATCGTACCTTGGGTCCTAAGTATAACTTTTCGCAGATTGGTTAAGTGAGCAACCAGCTTCTCGGTCCTTTGGCTTATACTACTATAGGCTTTCCAAAAGGGGATTTCTATCCACGCCATCCTCTTACTCATCTGTAGATCTAACACCGGGCTTGGATATGTTTATCTCATTTTACACCAAAGATACATTCAGAACAACATAAACAACTAACAAGTGTTCATCAGAGTAAGAGCCATAAATAGAAATTAGTATCTGGGTTTTGGGCCGACGATTCCAATCTAATTCTTACCACTTATTCCCGTAGCCGATGCCTTGTTTTCCTAGCTGGCTCTGATGTTCGGGTTTTTGCGACACTTTCCACTTGTGCCTACAAAACAAAAAGGTGAATGAAAATTGTCCTGCATTTCTTACGTTAGCTTCTTCCATCGCCTTTTCTTCATCGTAGAGTAAATCAAATTGTCCCATCTGTTCTCGACTGACAGTTTTGCTGCCTTTAGCATCTGGAATCAATCCGTTTGGGACAACTATGTTAATAACATCATTCACCAATTTGTATTTCAATATACGATCACTTGCTGTGGTTGCGGACAAAGACGGGGATGCATTAACTTCTATCAACCATGGTTTGAATGTGTCATCGATAATAATGTCGTATCCGTAACATTCGAAGCAATGTCGATCGTTGATCAGCACGCTAGCGACAGCTTTCAGGGAGTGGAGTACGATCCAGTGAATTTCGTCAAAGAGTTTGTCCGAAACCGTTTTGCCTTTGGTGCCTTCCAGCCACAGACGAAAATTTTCAATGGTCCATTTCCCACCGTGCAAACTGTTATAGTGAGCTCCGTGCTTTTGAATAGATACGTTGGTTAGGTGAACGAACATGTTATCTAGTTCGGTTACGTCGGTGTTATATTTTACGGTGCAGAATCGACAAAAACCTAGTTTGTAAATGTATGCCTTCAGAGGTCGAAAACTCGTCACAAGAATGTAGAGACGAAGGTCAAACTTTTTACCACCTATCAGTAGGGGATTATCAATGTATCTGGAGATGACGTATGAGTCCCGCACGTAACTCGGAACCGATCCAAGCATCATTCCCATTCGTCCTTCTCGTGACCACTTTTTTAACTGTGATAATCGATTGATCAAGAATATACCTATTCCACGTGCTTTTCCGCTCGGCTTCAAAATCCACGTCAGTGTTGGGTTTCGTTTGAACTCTTCAGTGAACAAATTGTAGTCCTGGGGTAACATATAAGTGACCGGAATGAAATCCAGATAGAGATATCTGCCCGTCTCGTCTTTTGCTGCCAATGGATTTCCCTCCTTTTCCAACTCTTTTCTATAACGTTTGATATTTTTCGCCATAAGATCTTTGCGAGTCAACTCGAAGTGATTCGGAAAATGATTCACTAGCTAAATTCAATTAGGGCTGATTGCACCTTCAAGTCGATTAGGACCTACTTGGTTGTCACTCAGACGATATCCGGAATCATTATTGAAAATTGCACGCACACTTTGAACGGAGGCCCAGAAAAAATGCCAGTCATCGTCTGGGGATGTGCACTGCCAACCGCGTGCCTCACAGTTGTTGCTGATAACTGATTTCTCAACATCTATAGCGTATTTTATCCTTGACATTTGGCCTAGCTTCCAATACTCGACCGCTCCTTTTGCACGATCGCCGGCTAGGGTACCTAAATGGAGTCAAAAAGAAGTTTCGTTCAATGACCGTTCCACTAGGTCCTACCGTTACGGTATTTGTTGGTGTTAAAACTGGAACGTCGACTACTTACAACACTTCCTTTAGTCAGCTGCTCAAAAGCCTGTCTCCGTGTGTTTCTTATTCTGCAGCAGTTTTCTTTCTGAAAATGACAAATCTTCCTGTTTATGGGCGTTACCCATCGCGAATTTTTCGCTCCGTATTTATACCTGCAGTTATAAAACGAGGAAAGAAGCTTTGATTGGGCTAGTAAAGTTTCTCTAGATGGCAGAAAACCGAATGGGTGAGCTGAGGGTCGTCCCACCCTTCACCATCGCTTAAATGATGATGGTTTTGAGAACAACAATCTCATGTGTCACCCATGAAGGTGGAGCCGCATCCAGCCTTTGTAAGGTCCAATCATATGTCAAAGTGCATATTAGGTGACAAAGACCGAAAAGCTGGAGTTAGTAAAGATTGCCTGAAAACAGCAACTATGTTTTGTCAGGTTTTTCTAACCAAAGCAATACTTGTGAGAAGGAAAACGGAAGTTAGCCTCCTGTTTTTTTTACACCGGATCGTCGCAAATCAGCTTACCACTACTGTAGACCTATGAAGGATAGGCTTGGCCAAGAGTTAGGCTGGTTACTCACGTCAAAGTTAAATTCTGAATGGTATAGTACTTTAGTGAAATATCTTACGTGCGCCTTGACAGTGCCATATAGAACCAGACGCCGTGAGGCACCAAACTGCTTGTAGATAGGGGCCGCTATCTTTGTGTCGACAGACAAAAATAGAGACATGAAAACCGTAAAACTAGGGGACAATCAGTAGTTCTGAAGACCCTGGAACGAATAGCAGATGAATTTGCTACCTATCCAACTCTCGCTACCAAAAAGGCTTCGTTAGGGTGTGCCCCCCTAAACAAAATTATTATCAGGATATACCGGGATCATAAAGTAAAGGTGTGCTTGCTACAATCCCAGAAAACCTTTGGGCTAGTAAATCGCTGCGTATTCCTCAAAATCTTCCGAAGTTTACGCTCGGTTTTGTAGATGGCTACAGAGCTCTTTTCGGGCTGTACTTTTCGAGTTTTTGTGGAAGTGACAAACTATAATAGGGGATACGACTCTCCTTGAACGTAATGAAGTGTCAAAGGTTAATAAAAATTTGAAATGCTAATAGTTATGGGAACGCAACCGTGCAACGCTGTCATTAACACTACTTAGATAAATCGAGTATTCTCTTCCACAGAAGCTAAGGATCGTAGGAGGATCTCATCGAAATGTTTAAGACTCTCAACTTGTTTTCCATTCCATCGTACCATACCGATTCTTTCATCTGGCACAGAAATCCACCAGAACCGCTAGGCCATGAATTAACTCTCGAAAAAAGGGATAACCGAAAAGCAAGCTTTTGAATCAGAATAGGAAATTCTGGGAATGTGTTACTAATTCAGGGTTAGTAGCCGTATTCTTCGATGGCCTCACTTTCCTACTCGTTGCAGGTTTGAATAACGTGTTCTTGGGAGTAGACAGGTTTTCGGTCCAGTGCACCTGTGGTGCTCATGCATAGTCCATTCCCCATACCAAGGACGTCCCTCGTCATTATTTCTTTTTCATACTTTGAATTCTTATTTTTCGATCTCTACATTTCCATCTTGCATGTGGACCCACTTCGCACGTTCATATAGCCACTTGACCCTGCAGTAAACAGCAAAATAAGGTTTGGTGGCCTGCTGTTGTGGAAATCTTTTTCAACGCCACAGCTGATAACCAACCATTAAACACAATGCCGACTTCATATCCCTGTGGGTATGGCTAAAGTTTTCGACATTTTTGGCTTGAAGTATGGGTTCCTAAAAATGGATAGAACGTCGGTAGGAATCAGTTTTTAAGCAGACGTTACGGATTCGTCGCCGAATGAAACGCTGCATCAGTGAATTTTTGCTCGAAGTCGTGTACAGAAAGTTAGTGTGGCTCCTCTCTCTCTCGAATGCCGGGTGAATTACGCCAACATGTATGGGTAATGTGTCTTGTCAATAAAATTGAACTGACGGTTTTTGAGATGGGAGTGGAACTTAGAAACAACCTCCCCTCACTTCAAGTTCCAGATTAGCCGCCGAAGTGCAAAGAAGGCGACGTCGGTGCACTTTCACCGTACGTACGTAGAGTTATGGTGCCTTTCTCCAATGGACATAATAGGGGAATACGGCAGTTGGTTTTATGTTTGTTTTTGTATTCTTGGATAAATATCAAATTACCAGTTGAATCCCTATCTTCAAAATGTGTACGCGGACGCTGTGTGAAAACCGCCGTGGCATCATTCTATTAGCTGTAGCATCGAAGGTGCTCTCTGGTCTTATCCTTTGCAGGTTGGGAGAGACAGATCCGTGAAAACCGAGCTCTGTCCCGTCCTGCAAGAGGATACGTCGATCATATCCTCACCCTCAGGCAAATTCTGGAACAGCGACACTGCTTCCAGATTTGAAAGTTGCACTTGGTTCTGTGGATCTTTAGGCACTATGGTAGTGTCTGCGGAGCAAAGATATCCCCCATGAACTCTTGACCCTCCTTAAGGAGGGTCAACTCCCGTGGCCGTGTGAAGGTCTATGGGAAGCTCTTGTCTGAGTTCACCACATTAAGTGGTGTCAAACAGGGCTGTCCTCTTTCACCTCTCCTCTTTAACTTCGTCATTGATACGATCATGGAAGATTCACTACCAGCCTCCAATGCCTGTGGAGTCAAAGTGCTCCCTGGCCCCCGCCCACAGATATTGAGTACGCAGACGACATGGCTCTTCTTGGATCTGACCCCGTGGTAATGCAAACAATATTAAATAATCTAAATAATTCTGCCTCACAGTTTGGCATCCGCTTCACACCTGGAAAGTGCAAAGTGCTACAGCAAGACTGGGTGGGCTCGATCCCTAGCCTCATGCTTGCGGATGAACCGATTGAGGTAGTAGACAAATGTGTTTACCTGGGCAGCTGTATCAGCTCAGGTGATCTCGCGAAAGATGATATTTCCATCCGGATTGGGAAAGCCAGAGCAGCTTTTGTGAACCTACGTCACCTGTGGCGTAGGCGTGACATCAACTTCTCTGTCAAGGGTCGAGTTTACAATGCTGCGGTGCGCTCCTTACTACTACACGGATCAGAACCTGATCGTCGCGCGTTGAGGACGTCAAAAGACTTTCAGTGTTTGACCATCGATGTCTCCGGGGCAGCCCGAGTCTGGTGGGAACAACGGATAAGCAATTTCGAAGTCGCTACAGTGTCTCGCTGTCCTTTCTCAGACTACTTCACATGGTACTTCTTCGGACAATTGCACCTTATAGAACCCGCTTCCAGCTTTTATGACCCATGGCATGTTAAGAGAACCATGGCCTACCCATGAGCAGTTGGGAATTTAGGTCAGAAGTACGTCGAATGGTATTCAGAAGAGATATTTCACCCTCGATAGATGAACTAATCACACTACATCGGTTGCGCGTTCTCCGTATGCCAGTCGACCGAATTCCTCAAAGGGCTCTTCTCGCTCAACCACGTGAAGAGCGGAAGAGAGCCAGTGGCGGTCAAACAATGACTTGGCAGCGAAGTTTGGAAGCTATTACCAGCAAACTCGGCTGCGCTGACCATTGCCGTCTTCCTGGATGGGGACCCCGAGACGGGCCACATCAATGGTTAGAGGCATCGTCAGACATGGCCCATTCGTGCCCTAAATGGCACTCGTACATCCAAGCTCTTGCCTTCAATGCATAGCTCCCTTCCCAATCCCCTAATGGACAGTTCACTGACAGTGTCGTATTTACGCACCAATTTATCAGCTCCCGCATCCAATGTGCAGCTATCTACCTCACCTCCCCAAATCATTGGTAAGCGAAACTGCGGCAGCTGCAACCACTGTACGACAAGTACGGGGTTCTTACAGCTGACAATGATGTTGAATGCTGACCAATTTAATCCAAATTTTTAGCGCTGCCTTTAGTCTGAGTGGACTTGCCCGCGATCTAAATTCAGTTGAAGTAGGTATTCGTTGAAAAACAAGATAGTTTGCGATTCACTCTTTTTGCAACCTCGAAATGATTGTCAGCACTAAGTCCCCCTCCACTTTTATTCTTTCTTTTCACAACAACACTTTCAAATAAACCATGGTTGAACACTGACCTCATCCTGTTGATGATGATAATGGTGAGACCACTAAAAATCAGCTCTAGGATATCATGACGTCAAGTTCTATGAAGGAGTAAGTCATTTTCTGCGCAGGTGGTTGCCGCGGGCACTGTGAATTCAGTGGACCGAATCTTGAATCATCGCAGGTTGTGGTCAATTTAAAGAATTTTGTAGACACCCAGTAAACATAATCAGAGGCAGAAGTTAAAGTCAGCGGCGGTAGATATAGGACTCAGTATCACTTTCTTCGAACTCTCTAGGCCGTAGCCTAGAGCAATCGACATCGATTCACCAAATTTCATAAACCTTTAGACTGTCGTTTTCTCAGAATCGCTGCTGTTGTATAATCATGTTGACATATTCAAAACGAGGTAATTATCGAACTTGGTTGCGTAAGATATCTTGCACCATTAAACCCACCGGCTCGCCCCGTGTGCTGCGCATGCTGAGCCCTTGTTTACCGAGATATTTGTTCTCCGTTCCCCCTTCAGACTTGCGCGAATGACGGGGACGGACAGCGCGTGGCTTTGCATAGGGGTGTGGAAGAGTTTATAAGGAGCCTGAGTATTGTTGTTATGAACTGTCTTCCACGATGATGTCCCTAAGGAAGTTGCAAGAAGTGATGGCCAATCCGCATCAGTAGAGTCCGTGCTGTAAGTTTCTTTCCAGATTATCTGACAGCCTTTGGAAGTATAGGCACAGAATACTTGTTGTGGGTTTGTCCCATGTTTCCTTTCTGGTCTTCCTCTTCTGTTCTTAGTTTCAGGGTTTAAAGGTAACTGAATAAAGGTTGTAACTGCATAACAGTGAACTTGTCAACATTGATGTTGTCTATTATGCTGATGATGACTTTGATAGCCGTTGGTCGTTGATGTTAGCTTAAGGAGCGTGATTTCGGTCAGTTGCCCTATTTGTTTATACTATCCTCGTGTGTCAATCTTCGCGGACTTTCTTGGTTGCTATAACCAACACCTATGACGCCGTTTTTGTCGAAGAGCTATTGCGTACCGTACGTTGTAAATCACCACACAATGCTCTGATTCATGTGTGTATGTACTCTATCTTATCATTTATTCATTATTCTATTACTATTTGACTGAGTACAAGGTACGCCACCCGAATAATGCATTTTCAATTTAGCTTTATCGAAAAATCAATTCATAAAATCTAGATGTACTCAACATTGAATCAAGTTTGGCTGGCAAATTCTATCCAAGACTGACTGACAAAATGCCACCATTTCTACCGACGTGAATGCATATGCCTCCTAGAACCTGGCTCATCCGTCTATGGCTCTCCGTATCTTATAACTTCTTAAAATCACTCGTGTTTCAAGGCATCAAGCCTGTTTTATTCGATGCCGCCAAATAATCCAAATTTCAATCAGGCGTTTGTCAGGCTAATCAGATTGCTAGTCCTTCAGTAACATTCGACACACTGTTTGTTGTGGCTTTGAGACCACTGGGGCTGCTAATAATGCGCAATAACAGTAGTTCATCTCTGGACTCAATATACTTTCCAAACTGAACAATTTCTTGGCACTTGCAAGCTGTCACCTTCCCAGAAATTGCAGTCATTTTCACCAACACTAGATTGCCTAGGGTACTTTTTCGTGCAATCCACAGTTTT